ATTACTGTCATTGTTTTGGAAATTCCAGTTGCCAAAGGACCTCAAGTGATGTCATCATCATACACAAGCTGATAGGGGATGGATGGAGTGGGAATTAGCATATGGGAATAGCAGATGCAACTATTAAATATAGGATGGATAAACAACAAGGTCATTCTGTATAGCACAGGGAACTATAGTCACGACCCTGTAACATCATGAAAAAGAATATGAAAAAAACCCAAACAGGCTGGAAACGGCAAACACTGTTAGGTAATGCCAAATCCCAGTTAGGACCAGGACAGATCTGGATCGTGTGGCCAAATCCCTGGAATTCTCCACTGGTTGGCTGCACAGGCTGGCCTTAGTCGTTTCACTAACCTCATGACAATGTGTGTGTTCATGGCAAATAGATGCAGAAACAATGGAAACACTGACAGGCATTATTTTCTTGGGCTCCAAAATACAGCAGCCATGAAATTAAAAGAAGCTTGCTCCTTGGAAAGCTATGACCAACCTAGAGAGCATATTAAAAAGCAGAGACATTACTTTGCCAACAAAAATCTGTCTAGTCAAAGCTGTGGTTTTTTCAGTAGTCATGTATGGATGTGAGAGTTGGAGTATAAAAAAAGCTGAGCCCCAAAGAATTGATGCTTTCGAACTGGGGTATTGGAGAAAACTCTTGAGAGTCTCTTGGACTGCAAGGAGATCAAACCAATCAATCCCAAAGGAAATCAGTCCTAAATATTCATTGGAAGGACTGATGCTGAGCTGAAACTAATTTGGCCACCTGATGCAAAGAACTGACTCATTGGAAAAGACCCTGATGCTGGGAAAGATTGAAGGCAGGAGAAGGGGACGACAGAGGATCAGATGGTTGGATGGCATCACCGACTTGATGGACATGACTTTAAGCAAGCTCTGGGAGTTGGTGATGGACAGGGAAGCCTGGCATGCTGCAGTCCATGGGGTCGCAAAGAGTTGGACACGACTGAGTGGCTGAACTGGATGTGTTGTGATTTAAATAGTTAAATCCCACTCAATGTCATTTCTTTGGATAATAGCTTACATAATTCAATGGTTCTTAGTGTATTCTTAGAGTTATGCAACCATTGAAACAATTTTATTGTTATTGTTTGGTTTGCATAAAAATTAAAAGGGTATTATTTGCAAATATTCAGAGAATACATGCTGTATATTCGCTACAGTACAGAGTAACACATTATCAAGTGAAGATTATCAAACTTTCATGAATAATAAGCTTTTCTCTCTTCCTTCAAGGTTTGTTTTCTCAAAGATTTTCTCAAACACTATTCTTCCACCGTAAGTAATGTTGAAGCTCATCTAGAAGACTGCCGAGTAGCCCTTACTATAGTTACTCTGGATACATTTTTAAATGACAAAACATGTTTTATATGTTGTGAAATAGCTCTTCAGTTGTAGAACTACTTTAAAACTATGCAAAAACCCAATTATTTTAGAATTAAAGTGTCTAGAAATTTCCTTACTCTCACCCCAGTAATGTAAAATACATTGATATCTATTAAATTCAAATAAATTGTATACTTAAAAGTTATATACTTATGACATGTAAATTTGTATTACAAGTTATATGTAGTCTCTGAATTTTTGCAAATAATACTCTTCTAATTTTTATGCAAGAGTACTTTTGTGTTTTAGTATGAGAAATGGAGGGCTTCCCAGGTGGGGCTAGTGGTAAAGATCCCCGCCTCCCAATGCAGGAGACTAAGATGTGTGGGTTCGATCCCTGAGTGGGGAAGACCCCCTGGAGGAGGACATGGCAACCCACTCCAGTGTTCTGGCCTAGAGAATCCCCATGGACAGAGGTGCTTGGTGGGCTACAGTCCACAGGGCTGCAAAGAGTTGGACGTAACTGAAGCAACTTAGCACACTAAAGCACAGTGAAAAATGGAACTTCTTTGAAATAATTCAGTGTTTGTTTTAAAATGCTGCCATCCTTGGTAGAACATGCTCTTGACCTTCCAAGGCTTAGAAGAGACCAGATGGCTCCTATTCTTCTTCCAGATTTCCCTATCCCATAAATTTTATTTTAAAAAATTTTTTTTTAATTATTTTTGGCTACACCATGCAGCATATGGAATCATAGTTTCCTGACCCTTGAGAGTCAAACCCTTGCCCCCTGCGTTGGAAGCTCAGAATCTTAACCACTGGACTGCTAGGAAAGTCCTGTCAACATCACAATTTTAGAATATTTTCACCTACAAAGAAACCCTGTACTCTTCAGCAGTCATTATCTTCACCTATTCTCCCTCACCCCCAGTCTTAAGCAACCACTAACCTACTTTATTTCTCTATAGATTTGCTACGGATAGTGTTTTCTCTGTAGATATAGACTCTAGACAACTTATATAAATGGGATTATATAATTTATGGTGTATTACGGCTGCTTTCTTTCACTTAGCATGTTTTCAAGATTTTTCCATGTTGCAGCATGTATCAGAACTTCATCCCTTTTTATTGCCAAATATCATTCCACCTGCAGGAGTATACCACATTTTATTTATCATTCGTCAGTTGATGGACATTTAGGTTGTTTTCACTGTTTTTGGCTATTGTAAATAATGCTGCTGTGAACATTTGTTCAAACAAGTTTTTTAAAAAATAATTTTATTCATTCATTTACTTTTGGCTGTGCTGGGTCTTCATTGCTGTGCAGGCTTTTTTCTAGTTGCAGCAAGTTGGGTGCACGGGCTTCTCATTGCAGGGGCTTCTCTCATTAAGAAGATCGGGCTCTAGGTGCACCGGCTTCAGTAGTTGTGACACATGGGCTGAGTCGTTGTGGCTCCTGGGCTCTAGACCACAGGCTCAATAGTTGCAGTGCATGGGCTTAGCATATGGAAGATCTTCCCTAATTAGGGATCAAACCTGTGTCTCCTACATTGACAGATGGATTCTTTACCACTGGACCACCAGGAAAGCCCTCAAACAAGTTTTCATGTGGATGTATCTTTCACTTCTCATGGGTCTATAACCAGGAGTGGAATTGCTGGATCACGTGATAACTGTGTTCACCCTTTTGAGAAACTGCCAGACTGTCTTCCAAAGTGGGCGCACCATCATACATATCCACCAACAATGTATGAAGGTTCCAGTTTCTCCACTCAAGTGTTGTTTTGATAGGTTTCTGCTTTGGGCTTGGACACTTCATTTGGTAAATACCCAAAATATCAGGGCTCAAAACATCAGCCAGCACAATGCAATAATGTTAACAATAACAAACGACATTGTGCTGTCATTACAACAATATCATGGGTTAAATAATGTCATTAGAATTTTAAAGATGAAGAAAGTAAAGCTTAGAGAGATTGTGACATGTCACACAGGGTCACACAGGTGGCAGGTGGTTGAGTCAGGGCTTGAACTGAGATCCCCCAGATTTCAAAGCCTGTATTTTTGAAAACCATGCTATTCTGATAAGCTCAGTGTCATGGACATTTGAAATCGTCAACATGCTGGATAAAGTATCAAATTATCAAGATGATATTGCATTATTTTCTCTCTCAATCAGCCTAAATGACAGTTGTAAAAGTATGCTGCACTAGCCCCTGCTGCCCTGGCTCTTTATAATCATCTAGCATCCCTCTGAGTCTTTGGCATTCCCAGCAGAGCAAGGCACAGAGCCAGGATGAGAAGCCAGGGATGGAATAGCCACTTAATTCCATGCAGATGGTTACTTCAGCCAGTTATTGAACTTGAAGCATTATTACCCTGAACTAATGCAAACAGACAGGCTTCTAGGCACCGCTGTGCCACGGATGGTTTTGTCCTCTAAGATTGCAGAATTGCATTACTCACATGCGTTCCTAAGTTAGGAACGGAATTTATTCCTTTTTGAATGATAAAATGCTCAGTATGAGTTTTCTGAATTTTCTAACCCCCTATACACTAACTGAGTGTATGGTGGATGGAAAATTCAGAAAATTAAGAAGGAAGACATCTCCCACAAGTCTCAAGTCTTAGAAACAATCCCCGTTAACACTTTCATGCATTTATTCCTTGTCCTTTTCTTTTTCTTTTTTTTGTCCTTTTATTTTTCATGCATTAAAAACATACTGATTTTTTCTCCTTATTATAAAAGTAATACATATATCTTGTAGGGATATTGGAGAATTCAAAGAAAACATCATTTATTACCTGGATGTTCATAGGTAATATCAACAATTTGGCATATGTTATTTCAGTGTTTTATTAGATACGTGTATATATGTGTGTGTATCTGGACACATTAAAAACTTGGGATCCAAGTATTTGTTTCATTTTGTTTCTATAATTTTTACGAAATACTAGTATGATCAAGATCACAGTGTACACTTAGCCTTAACTAAAGATCAAGAATAACAGTGCATCCTTTCTATTACAATTTGTATTCTACTTTTCCTCTGATGCTCTGATTAACATTGTGTTATAATGGTTTTTTTGCCATGACATTTCAAACTCTCTATGAATATCATTTTTTTAAAGTATACCATGTTCCATTGCATGCATTCCATAATTTATTTAGCCATGCCTTCTTGTAGGATATTAGACTTGTCTTAGTTTTCCCACATTTTACATAAATTGTAAGAAATATCTTATTAGTAAGTATTTTTTGTTGCTGTTGCTGTTCAGTCCCTCAGTCGTTTCATACACTTTGTGACCCCATGGACTGCAGCACACCAGGCTTCCCTGTCCTTCATCATCTCCCAGAGCTTGCTCAACTCATGTCCATCAAGTCGGTGATACCATCCAACTATCTCATTCTCCGTCATCTCCTTCTCCTTCTGCCTTCAATCTTTTCCAGCATCAGGGTCTTTTCCAAAGAGCTGGCTCTTCACATCAGGTGGCCAAAGTATTGGAGCTTCAATTTCAGCATCAGTACTTCCAATGAAGATTCAGGGTTGATTTCCTTTAGGACTGACTGGTTTGATCTCCTTGCAGTCCAAAAGACTCTCAAGAGTCTTCTTCAACACCACAGTTCAAAAGCATCCATTCTTCGGTACTCAGTCTTCTTTATGGTCCAACTCTCACAACCATACATGACTTACTGGAAAAATCATATATTTCTTAGGTTAGATTCTCAGGGGTTGAATTAATGAGTCCAATAGGTCTGGCCAGCTTTTCTTTTCTTCTTGTTGTTTTTTAAAAAATCATGAACTATTTCAACCTACAGAAGAGTAAAGAGCATAACATGATAAAATTCCCCGAAACTTTTATTTAGTGTTTTGTATTAAGATATAATTTTCATATAGTAAAGGGCATATGTCTTAAATGTCATCTCTTCCTCCCCCTCCTCCAAGTCTATGTATTCATACACACATCACAGTACATCATCAGCCAGATGGTACATTTCTAACATTTCAATAAGCTCCCCCTCATTTAGTTTCCCATTCAGTACTACCCCAAAAGTAAGCACTATTGTGACATTTATCACTATAGATAAGTTTCACCTGTTTCTGAACTTTATATGAACAGAATCATTTAGTATTAATTCTGCATCTGATTTCTTTTGTTTAATGTTAAGCCTGTAGAATTCATCCATTTTGTTGGTAGTAGTTTGACCTTTCCCACTGTTGTAGCTATAAGCTCAAAAACAAAATAAAAAAGTGTTAGTGAGAATGTGGAGATGTAGGATCCCTCATACATTGCTGGTGGGAATGTAAACTAGTTCAACCACCATGGCAAACAGTTTGGAGGGTACTTAACAAGTTAAACATGCAATTTACCGCATGGCACAGCAATTCCACTCTTCAGTATATACCCCAAAGAATTGAAAACAGATACCCAAACAGATACTTGTATACAAATGTTCATATGGATACTGTTCACACTAGCCAAAAGGTGGAAAAACCCAAACAACCATCAATGGATGAATGGATAAACAAATTTAGATATATTCATACAATGATATACTATTCAGCCATGAAAAGGAGTGAAGCGTTGATACTGGCTACAGCTTGGATGAACCTCAAAAGTAGCAGGCTAAGTAAAAGAAGCCAGATACAAAAGGTCACACATATGATGCTATGTGAAATACCCAGAAAAAGTAAGTTCATGCAAAAAGAAAGGACTGGTACTTTCCAGAGACTGAAGGGAGTGGGGAAAGCGGGGTGACTGCTTAAAGGACATGGTGGTTTCCTTAAAGGTCATGTGGTGTTTTCTAACTAGATAGAGGTGGTGGTTATACCGCATTGTGAAGGTACAATACCTTGACTTGGTTGCTTTAAAATGGTTAATTTTATGTTTTGTGAATTTCACCTCAAAAACTTTTAACATAGTCAAATGATTAATATTTTTCTTTAAGGTTTGTGTTTTTTTGGGGGAGTCTTAATATGTTCTTCCATTGCAAAATAATCAAGGTATTCTTCTACATTATAAATTTTAAAAATTTTGCGTTTCTCATTTAGGTCTTTAATCAACCTGGAATTTCTGGGTGTGTATGTGTGATGGGAAGTATGAAAGTCAAAGTGTTAATCACTCAGTCGTGTCTGGCTCTGTGTGACCCCATGGACAGTATCCCGCCAGGCTCCTCCATCCATGGGATTCCCCAGGCAAGAATAGTGGAGTGGGCTGCCATTTCCTTCTCCAGGGGATCTTCCCCACCCAGGGATCCTACCCAGATATCCTGCATTGCAGGCAGATTCTTTGCAATCTGAGCCACCCAGGAAGAAATGTGATAGGAAATATAAAGGTGTGATACTTATTTTAGTTTTCCATTTGTGTAGGCAAATGTCTCAGCACCATTTATTGAATAGTTCATCCTTTTTGTACTGATTTGTAATGCCTCCCCTGTCATATATCAACTTTCCAGATACATGCGGGTCCAAATGGGGGCTCTCAATTTTCTTCTTAGGCCTTATAACAATAATTTAAGTTTAACTGGGACTTTCCTGATAGTCCATTGGTTAAGAATCTGCCTGCCAATGCAGGGAACACGGGTTCAATCGCTGGTCCGGGAAGATCCTACGTGAAACGGGGCAACTAAGCCTGTGGACCACAACTTCCGAGCCCGTGCTCCACAACAAGAGAAGCCCACACAATGCTATTAGAGAATTGCCCCTGCTCACTGCAACTAGAGAAAGCCCAAATGCAGCAACGGAGACCCAGCATAGCCAAATCAGTAAATTATTTTTTTTTAAAAAGGTTTAACTACTGGGAGTGAAGTGCTCCCTGTCTTATGTTCTTTGTCATTGCCTTGCTTATTCTTCACCCTTCATTTTTTCACATAATTTTAGGGTCAGCTTGTCAAAGTTTATGTTTTATTTTATGTTTTACATTGTGATATTTATTAACAAAGATGGCCAGAAAAGGACAGGGCCAAAATTACGAAGTGATAAGAATTAAAATAAAAATTGCTTTCTATTATATTGTTTCTAAGGCACTATAGCCAATCTGGAAGTCGAAGTTTATTTTAAAATCCTATTCTCTATTGAGATTTCAACTGAATGGCACTGAAGAGAATTGTCATCTCTTTGATACCTAATCTTTTGTAACCTTGAACATGGCATACCTATCTCTTCATTTCTTTTCAGTTCATTTTTATTTTGCTTAACAGTACCAGATAGAAAAGTTAATTAATTGTCCCTGGTGACATGAAATAGTAAGCTTCTTCTCAATGATTTTTTTGGTATTATGATTATATTTTAAGTCTGATTAATAATTACAGAAAACTACTACATTTTTATGTTTGTCTTGTTTCCCCCAAACCTGATGTTATTCATTTTAATAGCTTATTTGTGGATTTGCTTGCATTTTTATATAGATAATTATACTGTCTGAAAAAGCAGCTTTGTTTCCTATTTCAGTTCTTATACCTCATTTATTTTCTTATTTTGTGCCAAGCTAGGACCTCTCAGAAGTGGGGATTATGAGCATCCTTCTTTTGTTCCTGATCTTAATAAGGATGCTATTAGAGGTTCAACAGTAATTGTGATGATTGCTATTGATTTATGATAGTTACTTTTTAGAAAGTGAAGGAAATGGTCTTCTATTCCTCATTTGCTAAGTGCAAGAACAAGCATGTGACTGCTAATTTTTCAGATGCTTCTTCTACATTCATTCAGATGGTCAAACAGCTTTCTCCTTTGATCTGTTAATATGATACATCATATCAATAGATTTTTTTCTTTCAGGTCATTACTCCATTTTGGAAATAAACCCTATTTGTTCATGATGTATTTTTACTTAGAATTCTTATAGCTAGGTGAGATCACTTTAGGACTTTTTCATGTGGCATTTTAATCTGGCTTTAATATCAAGGTCATACTGTCCTCATGAGATGAGCTCTGAAACAATTTTTATAAAATAAGGATTATCTGTTATTTGGTAAAACTCACCAATAAATGATTCGACCCTCTTGCCTTTGTGGGACTGAGGAGAAAAATTAATTTCTACATTAACAATTCAGATTTTGCAGTGGTTAGCGGTTTGCATTTATACTTCTTAACTGCATTCTGATGGTTTACTTTTTGAGAGAGAATTCATTGGACTGTGTTGGGTCTTAGTTGTCTCATGTGGATCTTTCGTTGCCAGGCATGGACTCTAGTTGTGGCGCCCAGGCTCCAGTAGTTGTGGCACATGGGCTGAGTTGCCCCATGGAATGTGGGGTCTTAGTTCTCTGAGCAGGGGGTGAAGCCCGGCCCTCAGCATTGAATTCATGAAGTCCTAACCACTAGACTGCTGGGGAATACCTGAGAATCTTAGGGAAACTTAGGGAAAACCTAAGTTTTAAAAATTTTCCTATATTCATATTACATCTCTCTTTTCTTCTTATTACTCATGAGTGCTTTGTCTGATAAGTCTCAGAAGGTTTACCTTCTTTAATAGTTATTTCCCCCAAAGGCATCAGCTTTTCAGTTAGACATCTACTACTCCTTGGATTTCTACTGGTTGGTACAAAAGTAACTGTGGTTTTGGATGGTGAATTTTAAATCATTATAACTAGGCTCAAACACCTCTTTATTAATCAAAACAAGAACCATTACAATCAACACATTTTTGCCAATGAGAAATAAATTTGTCTATTCCTGCAGTGTAAAAATCTGTGCTTTGGGATTCGAAGAACTCTTGGAAAACATTTTCTGCCTCTGGTTAGTTGTGGAAGCATTTTCCCTGCTAAAAGTTGTTGAGATGGTTGAAAAGGTTGCAGTTGGTTTGCAAGAGCTGAGGTGAATATGATGGATGAGGCAACACTTCGTAGCCCAATTTATTCAATTTTTGAAACATTGGTAGTGCGATGTGTGGTTGAGCATTGTCCTGGAAAAGAATTGGGCCCTTTCTGTTGACCCATGCCAGCTGCAGACGTTGCAGTTTTGGGTGCATCTCATCGATTTGCTGAGCATACTTCTCAGATGTAAAGGTTTCACTGGGATTCAGAAAGCTGTAGTGGGTCAGACTGGCAGCAGACCACCAAACAGTGACCATGACCTTTTTTTGGTGCGTTTGGCTCTGAGGAGTGCTTTGGAGTTTCTTCTTGGTCCAACCACTGATCTGATCATTGCTGGTTATTGTATAAAATCCACTCTTCGCTGCATGTCCAATCTGATCAAGAAATGGTTTGTTGTTGTTATGTAGAATAAGAAAAGACAACAAAATGATTTTTTTCTGTATTGAGCTCAGCTCATGAGGTACCCACTCATCAAGTTTTTTCACCTTTTCAATTTGCTCCAAATGCCAAAAGACCATAGAATGGTCCACATTGAGTTCTTCAGCAATTTCTCTTGTAGTTGTAAGAGGATGAGCTTTGATGACCCTCTCAATTGGTCATTGCAGCTTCTGATGGCCAGCCACTGCATTCCTCATCTTCAAGGCGCTTGTCTCTTTTGCAAAACTTGAACCACCATAGCACTGCACGTTAGCCATTCCTGGGCCAAATGTGTTACTGATGTTGGGGCTTGTCTCCATTGCTTTATGTATGACCCATTTTGAACTTGAATAAGAAAATTGCTCCAGTTTTCTTTGTGTCTAACATCATTTCCCTACTCTAAAATAAATATAAAATAGATAGGTAATAAGTCATTAGCAAGAAAAATAAAGCTAGAAATGCACATTCAAATAATGTAAAATATAACCACATTTATTTGAGAATGTTTTCTAATATCAAACAGTGAAATTCAACAATGCAAAACTACAATTACTTTTGCACCAATGTAATATTTCCTTAATTTATGTTTTTATCACTATTATTTTTTCTACCCCACTTAGGTTTTATCTGTTCTTTTTTCTTACAGTCTTTTCAGTTTAACATTTAACCATTTTAAAAAATTTATTTATTTTTTTATTGAAGGATAATTGCTTTACAGAATTTTGTTTTCTGTCAAACCTCAACATGAATCAGCCACAGGTATACATATATCCCTACCCTTTTGAAACTTCCTCCCAACTCCCTCCCCACCCCACCCCTCTAGGTTGACACAGAGTCCTAGTTTGAGTTTCCTGAGCCACACAGCAAATTCTTGTTGGCTATCTATTTTACACATGGTAATGCAAGTTTCCATGTTACTCTTTCCGTACATCTCACCCTCTCCTCCCTTCTCCCCATGTCCACATCTATTCCCTATGTCTGTTTCTCCATTGCTGCCCTGTAAATAAATTCTTCAGTACCATTTTTCTGGATTCCATATATATGCTTTAGAATATGATATTTATCTTTCTCTTTCTGACTCACTTCACTCTGTATTAGGTTTTAGGTTCATCCACCTTAGAACTGACTCAAATGCATTCCTTTTAATGGCTGAGTAATATTCCATTGTGTATATGTACCACAACTTCTTTATCCATTCATCTGTTGATGGACATCTAACATTTAACCATTTTTTAAAACCAGTTCAACCAGTTTTAAATGTATAAACTCAGTGGTATTAACTATTTTCACATTGTTGTGCATCACCCCCATTCTTTTTAATTTAATTTAATTTATAACTCTTTTCATCTGTAACACTGCAAATCTATACCCAATAAATAAAACTCCCCATTCTTCCCTCCTCCCAGCCTTGGGCAACTTCTATTTTACTTTCTGTTCCAGTGATTGAGACTGCCCTAGGTACCTCACATAAATGGAATCATACAGTACTTTTCTTTCTTTGACTGGCTTATTTCACTCAGCTTTATATCCTCAAGTTCCATCCATGTTGTAGCATATTACAGAATTCCTTTCCTTTTTAAAGGCTGAATAGTATTCCACTGTATGGAAAGGCCATGTTTTGCTTACCTATTCATCCTAACCCATTTATTTTCAGCCTTACATTTTTAAAGGCATGCACTTAAGGCTATACATTTACTTACTTGCAAACTTTCAAGTTTTGATATATGATACTCTCATGCTTATCCAGGTCTAAATATTTTATGATTTTCATTGTTATTTCCTTTTTCTCTCATGAGCTATTTAGAAGTTTCTTCATTGATTATAAATTTTTAATGACTCGTTACCAGTTGATAAATCATTTTCTTAAAAGGCTGGGCCTTTTTCATACCTCCATGAGTCACGTGGATCCTGAAAATCACCCCCGATTACATCTTAAAAATAAGAACAAACAACAGATAATCAACCCGTGTCCTATAGGTACTCTCCCTTCCCCATACAAAGCTACATACCTGCGCAGTTAAGAAGGTCAGGACAATAAAGGGGCTAAGTCTAGATTCAAGTGCTCACCAGACCACTTGATAAGTGTGGGAATTTGGGCAAATAAATTAATCTTTCTGCATCTCAGTTTCATCCTCTATAAAACAAAGCTAACAAAGCAGTATCTGTTTCACAGAGTTATTGGGGAGTGTTTAGCACCTAGCCATCATTCAATAACTATTACTATTTAAAAAGTCCATCTAGCTGTGGATTTTACTGTGTACTTTTAATGCTGCCATGCTAATATCAACCCCTGGGTTTCTGGGAAGTAAAGACTCATGTTCTAAATAGCTTTGTTATACTGATGTTCAAAATATTTTTATGCCTCTCAGTCCATGCAAACACCTTCAGGGTGGACACAGGCACTGGGAGAGAAGACCGTCCCATTTTATATTCAAATTCAAAATACACATAAATGCAAACTACAGAGATTCTCACAGGCACAGAACACACAGATCCAGGTCCACACTCACGCTTCCGCGCACTCGCCACAAAGATGGATCCATCGCCCACAGACAGAAATGCTCTCACAAATCCCACTCAAAGCCTAGCAGCACGCTGACATATCACAAGCCACTCGCAGCGCCAGCCCCATGCAAAGCATCGCCACCTGCTCCAGTAGGGGGCTGCTGCCTTGTTTTTACTTCCTTTAGGTTGGTTCTATTTTAGTTGTTGTTTTTGTTGTTCTTCGAGTTATCATCTGCCCCCTTTCTGTCTACCCAGCCCCCAGGCTCTCCGCCAAAGCCTCCACTGCGCATGCGCCCCCATCCTTTGCCCGCCTTCCCACCCTTCCCGGGTACCAGTCGGCGCTCCCCGGCTCTGGCGGCGGAAGAGATGGGACCGCGTCACGAGCGCCCGGCCCCTTAAAACGCTGCTGGCTGGAGCCGCCTCCCTCCCTGCAGCCCGCGGCAGGCATGGAGTAGAGGGAAACCGGTCGACCTGCCCGCGGGGATCAGCGATGGAGTTGAAGCAATCTTTGTCCATCCATCTGGAAGCGGAGAAGCCGCTTAGGCGCTATGGGGCGGTGGAGGAGACGGCGTGGAAAGCGGAGGGACTGGGGAGAAGTGAGTACTCGGGCGGGGTGGGTGGGACTGTTGGGGATCGGTGCGCCGGAGCGGGTGGTCGCGGGAGCGCCGGGTTGGTAGGGAGCGGACCAAGGGGAGCGCCCCCGCAGCGGGGCTTTAGTCGCTGGAGGGGAATGCGCAGCGCTGCGACGCGCTCTCCCGCGAACAAAAGGGGAACCCTCCGGACTGGGTTTCTCCGGGAGGCTCGGAAATCTCCAGGCAGCTGAGCCGGGAGCGTGGGGTGGACGCGGGAGTCACCAGATCCAAGCTCGCAGCTGGTTTTGGGAAAGTAGGGTCTTTCCCACAAGCCGAGCGAGGAAGGTCTTTTCTCCGCCCGGGATGCGCTAGGGCGGGCTGGAGCCTTGGACCATCCTGGAAAGCTCCCACGGACCCGGAGAGCGGGGAGTGTCCGCTGGGTTTCTGCTTTTGCTTCTCCGTCGGCGCGAGGTTCAGGGCACACCTGAAATTCCCAGCGTTTCTTTCCCCCGCTTTCTCCGGGGTCGCGAGTGGGAGGGAAAGGGTTAGGGGGAGTGTTAACCCTGTGCACGCCCTTCCCCTTTCTCTCTGGACTCGAGTCTTTCTGCTTTGGGTACAGTCCTAGAAGGCAGTTCGGAAACGGACCGACTGTAAATATTTGCTGCTTTTCTCTCCGGTATTTTGGGGTCAACAGCATTAACAAATAAACTAAGGATTTTTGTGCTTAATGAATAGGATGCTGTAGTTGAAACTCTTGCTCTTAAAGTATAGAGGCAGCTGCAGGGGTCCTAGGGTCACTAGCCCTCCCTGCAAATCCGGGCGCTTCATGGTCTCCCTGCCCTTGTACTTCATCCTTCGGGCTGGGAAAGGCCCTCTCGCCCTTCTCAAGGACCCTCGGCTTCCTGCGGTGGCGCTGAGCAGTGTTGAATCAAAATATTGTGAATATGCTCTTTTCCTGTCTTCACCTGGTAGAAGATTTTGTGTGTGTGTGTGTGCTTTCTCCATAGCTGTGATTACAGATTTAGATCTTTTTAGAATGGCTCAACTGTACTCTGGTTTTCATGGGTTCAAATAGAAATCACAACCAATGTCATAGTTCTCCACCTGAAACCCGGAGAGTGTCCAGCCTCTCTCCTTTTCTTTCTCCTTTTAAAAATCTGGGTTCTTCCTCCTGTTTCATCCTTTCAGAACCCTGTGGCTTTGGTACTTTAGCATAACAGCAGAGCTGAGGGTCTCTGGTCTCCCTGCAAGCTCCACATAATACCCACAATGGCTGCCTTTTGTTGATGGATTGCCATGTATTAGGTCTTGCCTGTGCTAAGAACTTTAAATCCATCCTCTCATTCAATCCCTAGAACAGCCTCCTTAAGAGGAATATTATGACTTATGACTCCTCTTGCACAGAGGGAAAAACTGGGGCTTGCTTTGGTAATGGGATTAAGAGGCAGAGTCAGGATTTGAACTCAGGTTTGTTGGGCCCCTGAGCCCCTCTCTGCTTTTTACATGAAGGTATTTTGCTATCAAGTTTCCTGGAATCTTTGTAAATCTGTTGAGAGAGTCTCTGAACACATTTGGTGATTTTTTTTTTTTTTTGCCCTCCACCCCCACCCCAGCCTGGCCCAGTGGCATGCAGACTCTTAGTTCCCAGACCAGGGATCAAACCTATGCCCTATGCATTGGGAGCTCAGAGTCTTAACCACTGGACCACCAGGGAAGTCCCACATTTGGTGCCTTTATAAATATGTAGCAGCCTGTTGGTTATGGGGGCCTTGAAAGAAAATGGAATCTGTAAAGAAAAGAAGTCCTGGGTTTGAATCCTGGGTCTGCCCCTTTGCTGGCTGTATAACTGAATCTGTGACTAGTCACATCTTTTAAGCCTCTCTCTGCCTCCCTTCTCTGAAATGGAGATGCTGATAGAACCTACCTTGTAGCTTAATTGTGAACACTCAATAAGATGATGTACATAGAGTTTAAGGTAAGTGCAAAATATATTAGCTGCTTCCATTATTTTATTACTACATCTGTGGAAAGAACCTGCTTCTATCCTTTGCAAAGAATTATATAAAGCAACACTGTGGACTAAAATTGCAATGTTGGCCAGGTCCCTGATAATTCTCTTATGGTTTTTTACTTTCTAGCCATTTTATTAGGAAAAGTTTCAAGCATATGGGAAAATTACAATGGAAACTCAGTTGGTAGCGTTTTCACTCCTGAAATTTTTGTACTTCTCAGTCTTAGATTGCAGACTGTTATAGGCTTAGCCAAAAGGCTTTCTCATCCTCTCTCTTCCAAACCATTGAAGATTCTGACTCTTTTCTCATTCAAACACAGGACCATAGTTTCTGATCTGCTTTTGGTGTTGATCCCCAAATCATTTTTTTCCATTCTTACTTATTCAAATTCAAAAGCTTCTTAAAACACTGATCCAGATTTTCACTTTTGAATCTTAAATTTGGGATTGTTTGCAGGCTTTGATCTCTAGACTCTCATCTGTGGCCTGACTTTTTTTTATTATTATTAAAGTGGCTTTTTAATTTTTTTTTTTTTGATGCTATCTCAACTCCTAGGGGATCTATGTATCCATTCCATAACATCTGGGGCCTCCATTAATTTATTAACGAAGTGTGAAAATTAGTAAAATTGATTCTGTGGCATAACAATTGCCAAGTCAACGTTGTTATGCATGAAATGCTGGAGAAAAAAAGAGAGGCCCATTAAAAAGAAGATATGCTCTGTTTAACTTTTACACATATTTAAACACTTTATGTTAAACACGGAGTGCGTTCTTGCTAAGTCACTTCAGTCCTGTCTGACTCTTTGCAATCCCGTGGACTCTAGCTTTCTAGCATCCTCTGTCCATGGGATTCTCCAGGCAAGAATACTGGAGTGGATTGCCATGCCCTCCTCCAGGGGATCTTCCCGACCCAGGGGTTGAACCTGTGTCTCTTACGTCTCCTGCATTGGTGTAGGTGTTACTTAAAAAAACTTGAAAAAGGGTGGAAAAAAATTGCAAGACTGGTTATTTTCAGTTACGGTTGTATTAATTGTTGTCTTTACTGTTGGTGGTGGTTGTTGTTTAGTCGATAAGTCATGTCCAACTCTCTGTGACCCCATGGACTGTAGGCCCCTCTGTCCATGTGATTTCCCAGGCAAGAATATTGAAGTAGGTTGCCATGCCCTCCTCCAGGAGATCTTCCTGACCCAGGGATCCAACCCCACGTCCCCTGCACTGGCAGGTAGGTTCTTTACCACTGAGCCATAGAGGAAGCCCATTGTTACTGTTAGCTGTAGTTTCTCGGTAGAAGATATATATAGTACAGTAAGCAAGAGTCAAGTGACATGGATCCAAACCAGCTCTGACACTTTGTTCCTTTGTCACCCAGGGACAATTGCTGAACCATTCTGTGAGTCATCTGTCTCATCTGTAAAATGGAAATGTGTTGGTTTGAACCCTTGGAAACTTCCTGGGTGAAATCTGAAACTGGCCGTTTACACAGAGGGCAAGTGGAGGCCAAAGAAAGAGGTGGCCATTCCAGATTGGTAGGGGGCAGGTTTAATAACAAGAGAACTTACACATGAGACTTGTCTTGGGCGCTGCAAAATAGTAGGTCATTGTACCCACCTTCCAGATTCTGAAGAGTTTATTTTGAAGCCTTAATGGGGTTCAGTCGTGTGTCCAGATGGTGCCAACAACACCCTACTGTCTCAAAGCCACATCCTTGAACTGGCTCCTCAAATGAGAAGAGTGGGCGGAGTGTACATTTTTTGGCTAGAAGAGAACTGAGTAATATTCCATTGTACATATGTACTGCGTCTTCTTTATACATTCATCTGTCAATAGACATTTAGGTTGCTTCCATGTCCTGGCTATTGTAAATAATGCTGCATAAGATAAGATATAGTACACATCTACCTTGGACTATCACTCAGACATAAAAAAGGAATGAAATTGTGTCATTTATAGTGATGTGGACAGACCTAGAGTCTGTCATACAGAGCAAAACCAGATAGAAAGAGAAAAATATGTTAACACATATATATGGAATCTAATAAAAGGGTAGAGATGAACCTATTTGCAGGGCAGGAATACAGACATGTGGACACAGTATGGGAAGGGGAGAGGAATGGGATGAATTGGGAGNTGCTTAGCCTTCTTTATGGTCTAACTCTTACATCCATGCTTGACTACTGGAAAAACCATAGCTTTGACCTATGTCAGCAAAGTGATGTCTCTGCTTTTCAATATGCTGTCTATGTGTCTATGGTTGTCATAGCTTTTCTTCCAAGGAGCAAGTTTCTTTTAATTTTGTAGCTGCAGTCAGAGTCTGCAGTGATTTTGGAGCCCAAGAAAATAAAGTCTGTCACTGTTTTCATTTTTTCCCATTTGCCACTAAGTGATGGGACTGGATGCCATTCAAAAAACAAAATTTTTTGAATGTTGAGTTTTAAGCTAGCTTTTTCCTCTTCTCTTTCACCTTCATCAAGAGACTCTTTAGTTCACTTTGTGTCATAAGGATGGTATCATCTATGTATATGACGTTGTTGATTTTTTTTTTTTTTTAAAGGACAAGAGATGGGTGAGGAGCCTCCAGTTACTCTGTCTGGCTAGAGAGTCACCTGATAGTCACATACTCTGAATGACTTCATCCAACAGGGGAATAAGGACCACTTTAGGCTGTTGGGAGGATTAAATGAGATACTGTGTGTAATGCAGTTA